GTATAGCACAGGAAAATATATTCAATATCTTGTAGTAGCTTATGGTGAAAAAGAATATGAATATGAATATATGTATGTTCACGTATGACTGAAGAATCGTGCTGTATACTAGAAATTGATACAACATTGTAAACTGACTATACCTCAATAAAAAATTAAAATAAAAATAATAAAATTGGGAAATTTTGGTTCATCTCTGATTTATATTTAAGGAAAAGCAATGCCTTCACCATAGTGAACCTAATCACCATGATGGTAACATTAAGAAAAATCAAGGAGCAATAACTATTAGATAAACATGGGAAGGTGGTATGTATTATGCTTATATAAGAAAGAAAAATGGGGATCATTCAAAGAATTGACTGCTGATGTACAAACTACAAGTACTTATAGTTACATGGGGAGATTTGCTGAAGTTGATTTGGTGTGGGTAGATATTAGGTACCTGGAAGGACCATGTTTTGAAAAAATGTACTTTACCTTTAGTTATTTAATAGTTTTTATAATTTTTTATATCTAGGAGAAGGAGAAAAGGACATAGAAAATCCCAAGGACTTCTCAGAGGAAAAGGAATATTATAAACCTGGTGAAAAAACTGCACAGTGGTCCAATTATGAGAAAGGCTAAGTACTAAGACAGATACTAAGTACTGGAGTCAGACAGCAGAGTCTGAGAGCTGCACCTCTATCACAATGAGAGAAAAGCAGTATTAGATTTGAGATTGGGGAATGGTTGCCTTGGCTAGTGACATTAATCATCAAGAATATTACTTTGTGAAGTGAGGAGGATTTTCTTTGTCAGATTACTCTTCGTTTTGTTACAGACTTACCAAAAGGCCTAGGGCCAGAGTGAAATGGGAAAACAGAAAACAACCGGAGAGAGAAGAAAAATCAAAATGCTTGAAGACAAAGTAGAGCTTTACTTATTTAAAGTTTTACTTTGGAAAACTTGGAAAATGTGAGAAAGTAAGGAAGTCCAGCATTTTCTTGAGCTGAAAACAGACCATTGGTCTTATTTATAAAGCAAACAGCACTTTCTAAATGGAAACAAATAAATGAAAGAGTTAGCAAAGAAGCAGTTATCTCACCAGCAAGTGAGTCAATATTTGCTCTTTATGGTGACCAGAAGTATCTGGTTTTGTTTTTTAAACTTGATAGTATAAAATTTTAGAAATTCTTACTAAAGGTTAAAAAAGGTACATAAGTTCAACTTTTAATAAAAAATTGGAAAGAACTTTCTAACAGTAGGAGAGATTTCCTCTTACAAGTAAACTCCAGTTTTAGAATTTAAAATGTTCTTATTTAAAACATTTTTGTTTGTCAAAGTTGATGGGACTATCTAGACAGTAGGAGGTGGGAAAGGAATGTGCCTATGGAAAATGCTGGGATCTGTAGTGGGAAAGGAAGCTCCGAGAGGGTTGGCTGAGCTTGGCCGATGGTGAGAGCTCTCTTCCTTGACAGCTGCTCTCAAGAGGGCACAGATCATTTAGCCCTTGTGTTTGAAACCTCCTACATTCATTACTAACATTTAACCATGAGATTTCACATGCAAATCCACATTTCTGATTTCTCTTGGAAAATCTGATAGCATTCCACCATAGCAACTATCACTGAGTAGGACTGAATAGCAGCTGTTCATGTTCCAGCCCCTTCCTATGCCTCTATTTCTTCATGCATGGAGGCTGAATATCAGTTGTCATCCACCCATTCATGTGATTGCAGTTTTGTCTTATGGGTAGAGTTAATGGAATATTGGAATATGTCCTATAATCTCATCTGTATCAAAAGTGTGATACAGACCAAGATGCCACGTAATTCAAGAACAATGGGAGAAAGTATATTTCCTTGAGAAAGCTAATGATCCTGGGGAATAAAATGCATATAATATAGATCTGTACAGAAATCACCTGCCTGTTTTACTCATTTACTCCCTTGTAGACTTTGGGTTTAAGGTGCCTGGTTTAGCTTCTGTACCTGTGATCTCATCTTCGGGCCTACATCACCCCATAGGCTGAAATCATATGTTTATTATTCCAAGAAACAGTCCCCTTTTCTTTCTTTTCAATGAAATGCTTGGTTGTTTTTTTTTTTTTTAATGGTGGCAAAGTGCCTACAGCTGGGTCTATGCCAAATTTTTAAATCACATTCTTGTATTTTTTAGCTTCTCTTGTTGCTAGCCATGTAACCCAGTTCTGACCAACAAGATGTGGGCAGAACATGCTCACAAGATGGGGAATTTTTTATTTGCCTATAAAAGAGGACAGGAGCAGTTGGTTTGGCTCTGGACCATTCCCCCTCTTTTCCTGCTTTGAAATGGAGAAGTTCTCTGAAGAGGCAAAAACCATCTTTTCATCACGGGGAGATAGCCACGGGGGCAAAAGCCAATCTGCGAAGAATACTGAGCAGAAATAAGCAAGAATCTTGGCCCTTGGGTGTGGCTGAGTAGCTAAACCAATTGCCAATAGCTGCCTAGGTTTGGTTATATGAGAAAAATAAATTCTTCATTGTTTAAGTCATGGTTGTTCAGCTTTTCTGGTCCTTGCAGACAAAGGTATTCCTACTTGATACACTCCTATATGCACAGTGCTTCCCACTGTTTCTGTTCATCCCACATCAGCTGAATTATGCCAACACCCCAATTCAGTTCCTATTGGACAATATTTGCAAAGCATGGCGCTAGCACTGGAATGGGGGTTCTACAAAGATGACTAAGACAAATTCCTTGTCTTTAAGTAGCTTGTTATCTAGAAGAGAGAACTAGATACATGTACACACAATGCAACACAGAGTAGGACAGTGTTACAGAAGAAGTGCGGGTTGTCATGGGGTTTTCAGAGGGGTGTGACATAGGTGCGTTTTTTGGTTCACAACTTCCTCAGGAATTTCCTGAGTGTAACCTGAAACTGGCACCCATACACAAAGGGCAAAGAAAGACCCAAGAAAAGATGCAGATCACTCCAGATTGGTAGGTGGCAGGTTTAATAAGGAAGAGAACTTACTTATAAGACTTGTCTTGGGCAGCCACAAGATGAGTGGATTTTCGTGCCCGCCCACCAGAATCTTCAAATGGAGGACAGCTTTTCTCATTAGAGACATTTCAGTGTTCCGTAAAGACAGGCATTGCCGACTATTATTTAAGGCTTGCTGGGTGAATTTAGTTAGGGCTTCTATGTGTGCTATAATGTCCTCCAGGCCAATGGAGAGAACAAACAGTGACCAAATGATTGTACCGGTAGAACACAGAGCATGTCCACCTAACCTTCAAGAAAAGGAGGTTGGCAGCTTTAGAAACTTGACCTGATTGTACATACCATACATGTTGCTTGGGGAGACAGCACTGTCAGACATGAGGAGGTGGACTGAGGGTGCGATATGCCAGACTAGGTCCCCTACCTTCTCCCCTCTTTAAATGGTGTGTATTCTATTCCAGGTACAATGTGTTTCAATGGGTCTGGCTTGCCGTGGGATGATGAACTCCCAGAGGAGACAAAGTAACTCACTTATCCAGGTGAGACATCCCACTGCATATTCCAGTTTTTTTCCCCAGGCGTGATGGGGCTTGGTGTTCTCAGCAGCATAGCATGTTGACCTATTGTGAGAGTCAGGCAATGGCTTTTTCCTACCATTCTCATACCTTTACAGTATTGGGTGCCTTGTCAGGGGTCCCTCATCTGGCATATGGGGTAACAGGCAGTACTGGTTGGTTATTCACATGTATTAAAGCCTGAGGAAGTACTTTAGTTCACCCAGCTAAGGTGATTTTACTTGTTAGAAATTTAATCTACTGCTGAATATTCCATTTTTCCTTTCTACCAGCCCTGTTATTTGCAGATTATAGGGGAGATGGAAACTCTATTTAATGTCATGTTCTTTTGCCCATCATTATCTTTGTAATGTGATCCTCTGATCACTGTCTATTCGAACAGGGTATCCATACATGGTACTCGGCTTCTGTAATCCCCTAATAGTAGCAGGCTGGTTTGCATGGCAACAGGTGAAAGCTTAAGTTAAACCAGACACAGTGTCCACACAAACCAAGGCATATGTAGAGCCCTCACTCACAGGGAGGGGGTTAATATAACCAATTTGCCAATCCCTCCCCAATTGGGAACTGCAGTGGATGTGTCAGATCACAATGTTGCCTTGGGCACTGTTTAGAATACACAGGACACGCTGTTACCGCATTAACCAAGTCAATGTGTCTCCAGGGCAATTAGGCATCCTTGGCAATACACCATCCCACCCAAGCAGTACGGTGGCTGCTGCTTTTATGTACCCGATCTGCTGTAGCTACTGAAGGGTCAGTTGCATGGGCTCATTTCTGAGCTGGAGCATCAGCTTCCTGATTGCCAGGGGGTGTCAGTGCCTAATGACCCAGGATGTGGAAAACAGTGAAGACTGCCTCAGGCTTTCGGGGCCAAACCCAGATGTCCCTTCATACATCCTGACCCCACAAAGACCAACTCATGAATCATCCACCCTTGCTTCCCATTGTCCAGACCTGGGACCAAAATCCGAGGGGCATTCTCCTCCTCTATTGTTCTGCCCCAGGTCCTGATCCACACCTTCTGGGGTCACAAACACATCTAACTCAAATGATAGCCCTGCTTGGGAGGTGCCCAGAGCTTTAATCTGCATCATCAGTATTTTTGCCTTCTCAAAGGTGGCTTGCTCTTCTGATTTCTTTACTGGGTGAACATACTGTGCCAACTAAGGAATAAAAGTCCTCTAAAACCCTAAAATTTCTACAAAGCTTTGCATTTCTTTTGCATTCTTAGGGGTTGGATAGGCTTGCAACTTATTAAACACAGCTTCTAAGACAACACACATTTTATCTGACCAAACGACTCCCAGAAACATGGTGGTGGTGACTGTGCCTTGAATTTTCTGTGAGTTCACTGCCCATCTTCTCCCTCACAGATTTCTAGCAAGTCTTCACATGTTAACATTGTATCAGCAGTGTAATGGGCCCATTTTACTGATGTGGGGAAGGAGAACAGGGACAGGTCTTGGCTACCATCCCATGACATGTGGCGGGGCTATGCAGGTAGCCTCAGGGAAACACCTGAGAGGTCCATTGTTGCTCCTCCCATATAAAGGCAAATTTATCTCAGTTATCAGAAACCTGTTCTTGTGAAAATATTTTCCGTGAATCTCCTTGAATATAAAGTACTTTTGCAGGAACCCTTTTTGTCAAGGCATCAGAGTAAAATAATAACTATTTGCAAATGACAAAAGATGTAAAAATATGGCCATGGTTAAAGTTCTGATGAGATCTTTATAATGCAGTTGTTGAGTGAATTTGGTTATTTCTGTGACATACATTTTAAAATTGTGACTGATAAAACATTATACCAGTGTTGCCGGTGGATGCAACCGGTATTCCAGGTTCTTGTCCCGTCCCAGAAACAATTCAGAGACAAGACATAGTGGTTAAAAAAGTAAAGTAAAATTTTATTAAAAGATGGATAGTACACTCTCAAGGGGAGAGCAGGCAGGCTCAGGTGAGCAGCTGCCCTGTGTTTCTTTGGCAAGTTAGTTACATAGGGTGTAAAAATGAATGGACAGAATATTCATTGGGGAGGGAAGTGTTTGCGGTCGTATTCCCTGATTATCATCCCAACTCCACCTTCCCAAAGGGAGGAGGGATTTTTGTCTCTATTTAGTCTGGATTGGAAGTGTCATGGGATCGGTACACGATGGGTACTTCTAATCTACAAGGCTAATTTTATTGAAATGAGGGTATAATGAGCAAAAGGTTACATTCGGATACTGGAAATTCCTGCCTTTCCTCACCTTTCTTTGTCAGTCTCCAGGCCACTCATCACCCCTACAGATATGACCACTTATCAGCCCAAAGATTCCTGCTTTTCTTTCTCTGCCCAGGGACCCCTGGTGCTTAAATGATGTATGGTTTCCTGCATTTGGCTTATGCCCCTCCATTCTGCCCAATTCCTGCCATTTGGCCTGTGTTCCCCTTTCTCTGCTCACATCTAGCTATCTGCCCACTCTAACACCAGGGCATATCAGATTTTTAGGGATTTCATACAAATACACCTTAAAGAAAGTGTATTCTCCCTTTTTATTTGACAATGCTCCCCATGAAATTTAACATATACAAAAAGTTATATAATTGTAAAACACTTAGCTTCTTTTTTTTGGTTGTATATATATATATATATATACACACATATATATATATAAAGTATAGTCAGTTTACAATGTTGTGTCAATTTCTGGTGTACAGCATAATGCTTCAGTCATACATGAACATACGTATATTCATTTTCATATTCTTTTTTCACCATAGATTACTACAAGATATCGAATATAGTTCCTTGTGCACTTAGCTTCTTTAATAGAGAAAATATTCAATTTTCTTAAATAACCAAAGACATAAATACAGAATAAGATAAAGACAAAACACAGAATCTTTGTTTCTTAGGCAGCAAACATTAAAGGTAAAGAAAAACCTCAGTTTGCAATTTCTTATTAAAAGCAGACCAATAATCTAAGAAAAATTTGTCCTTCTAACAGAGAGAAAACCAAATTCTAATTTTGCACCAGTGGACTTTAGTTGTTAAAACTCTCCTTTTAAAATTTTTAACTCAAATAAATCTATTTTGACTTTAGACTGACTACATATCAATATTTCTTTTGAAATATTGCAACTTTCTGTATCCATTCAGCTTTTGTCCTGATTTTTTTTTTAAGTTGGGACAATCAGGACAAAATTGATTTCTTTTTTTCTTTATCAAAACAAACCAACAAACAATGTCCTTCATATTCTTTGTCTAAAAAGAAACACATTCTATTTTTCTTACCTATTTTTCGTATACAGCCATTTTCTTTCACTCTTTTTCTAGTAGTTTTGTAAAAAACCTTGACTCTTTTACAAGTCAGTTTTGGTAATATACTCTGTAAGTAGAAACCCGTAACGACTGCACAACATACATCTAAAGGCATACGTAAACACGCAGACAGACACAAACAGAAACTCCATGACTTCCACTCTAAAACTTTAGCCGTGAATCAGGTACCCACTCATATAGCGAAAGCTTTTTACTGGTATTTGTGATCTTTTGGAGGCTGTGGACTAGATTTTGGGGCAAAGGAACTTCTACAGTCTGTGTTTTAAAAAGCCTTTCCCAACCCACCCATCCCACCCCGCTTTTTCTTCAGTCCCTGTAGGCAATGTTTTGGTTGTCTCCCAGGGTGTTTATATTTCAAAGACATAATAAGATTTACAACTTCAAAAGACAGAGAAAGAAATTGCTATTTAAATTTTCCTTTGTAGTAGGATGGCATACAGCCATTTCACCTGTCTCCTCATCAATTACTGTAGCATCCTCCTCTTTAATCTCATCACTTTCCCAGGGATTCCACATCTTAGCACGAAATCAGGCTTTGTCACAAGTGCTTGGACCTTAATCCATGGCAACTTTCTCCCTCCTAGCTTTGCAAAATACTACGCTAAGCTCTCCAACTTATTATCCTGCTCTCTCACCTTGTCTGCCAGCCCCAAAGCTAGCAGAGTAGTGGACAATTGCATGTCTTTCTTTAGCCTCAGCTTTTCTTCCAGCTCTCTAACTCAATCTCCAGCCTGGCTGCACCAGTTTACAGTGAAGGCCAGCCCACTGCAGCAGCCATTCATTTTCCTTCTTTGCTGCAAGGCACTATGTGCAGTTCCTTAAACAAAAATGCCAGCTGGCGTTTTGGGGGCATCCCCATATACATGCAGCAGACCACAGGCATCTAACATACAGGCCACCGTTCCCTGCAGGCAGGTTGCTGGCCAAGTCGGGATTTCCCCTCTGGATGCCTCTTTCCCAGTGCACATATATTCAGTCTCCTGCCTGGCTTGCTGATTGTAGATCTGCAGCTTTCTTGGGAGTTTCCCGGCTGTAATGTGAAACTGATGTCTATACACGGAGGACAGGAAGAGACCCCAAGAAAGAGGCAGATCACTCCAGATTGGTTGGTGGCAGGTTTAATAAGCAAGGGAACTTACTTACCATGCTTGCCTTGGGTAGCTGCACCCATCTGCCAGATTTTGAAAAGTTTATATAGAGGCCTTCATTGGGTTCAGTCACATATACTGTCCAGATGGTCTCAACAATATCCTGCTTTCTCAAGGTAATGTCCTTGGAACAGTTCCACGGTGGGAATGGTAGGTGGAGTGTATATTCCAAGGACAGGAGACAGGGTAAAGAGCCTCTGATTGCCCTGGTTCAGCTTTCGTCACGTTTTTTGGATGACCTCCCCCAACACTATTGCATCTAATTCCTGGTTGGAGTCATCAGGAGAGATTTCTTAAAGAAGTTGAGATGAGTCTTGAATGTTGGACTAAATTTTAAGAAGATTGCCTTCTGGGAAGAGAGCCTATTAGAAGGAGAGTCATAGAGGCAGAAACATGCAGAAAATCTTAGGGAGCCTAGGTTCTGCAGCTCTCTGCTTCCACACTCCAGGACCATGGGCCTCTGTCATCCTCCCAGTGAGCAAGCCCGT